ACCGCTGGGCAAAATGTCAATTAGATATTCAAATCAGGTATTTTTATGAAGACTGGTAGTCACTGAATATATATGTATTTAAATATTTTAAAAAGCCACTGATTTTGACACAGAGGGTGAAAAATTGATGCTATGTGTACTTGTGTAGTGTAACATGAGCAAAGCACACTGGATTATAGCACCAGTGTACAGCCAATGAAAGCGAGAAAGAGTGCAAGAGAGTATCAGAGATTCCAGATTAGAGTGCTGGATGATGATTACTTAGAAATTATGAGGGACAGGCAATTATTATCTAATAATTCTCTCACCTTATTTAGCCACTCAACTTTCTCCACATCTGGATAATGAACCTGGTGGAGAAATAGACAAATTTATCATATTAATAAAAGAGAGAAGGAACAAGACTGTTTCTGTAAATGTGCTGCAGTGTCTTTGAAAAAAAAAACCTTTGGCTATTACACACGTGCACACCCTTGGTCCACAGATGGCATGAAAAATAAACAGTCAATGTATGACAAAATAAAAAGACTTACTGTATAAACATGTGAAAGGTTCTCTATACAAAAAAGTGGCACCCATGTGTATTCTCTTCTTTCCTTTCACTTCAGTGGCATTATCATGTCTATAATATGTAGAGCAATAGGATCAGTGATGAGCGTAGCTGCAGTTAAAACCCTGCATGCGTAAAATGCTTAGCCTGCATTTGTTTCATGCAATGTAAGGGAGCAAGATGACACACTGACACTGCACTTTTTTAATTTCTCAAGCAGTACCATACAATAAAAGGCAATGACATCAATGGGGTACAGTGTTGTTTTGGACTCCATTGACTTTCAATATATCGACAAAAAATTGTCTCCTTTTGTGCTCTACAGAAAAAAAGTAAGTCATACAGGTTGTGGAATGACATAACGGTTAGTATATGATAACAGAATCAGAATCGGGTGAACTACCCTTTTAACTTGTCAGGTATCAAAAAATACAGTTATCTTCCACCCAACAGGCACTATGACCACACAAAGAACTTCTGAGCCTATGGCTACATTTACACTGCAAGCCTTTTTTGTTCAGATCCATTTTTGGTATGGACTTTCACATTATTTTTGTGGCCAATAACTGATTCGAGTGTGAACTGGTCATGGTCCTGAACTGACCCACATGCACAAAAGGAATAACAAAGACGTCACACAGCACTCTATCATACAGAACTAAATCTGGAGGTCACTGAAGTCAGTGTTTATGCATTCATTTATAAGGTGATGTGCAGCAGAAGCCAGCAAATTTGTGAGCAGGTGAGAGGGAGGACAAGGATGAGGAGAAAGAGAGCAAAGTTTTTCCTCATATAGTTTCCCCTCAATTTTTGCTTGTATAGAGCTGTAACCATAATTATAACAACTCACTGTCTCTCCACTGACTACCTTTGCAGCTTTCTTCCATATTCTGGTATGTAAAATCTTTGCCTGACTCCCGTCAATGCAGAATTCTTATTAAAGAATGTTAATGCAGAGTGACATAAACCTCGCATGAATTATGATATGACCGTTCAGACTGAGGTCTCACTGCAAAACATCACACCTGTATGTGACTTATGACTAAAACGGCCCAAATCAGAACCAAAAAGATCAGATTTCATGTGGTTTGTGCTGTTCACATTGTTATGAAAACAAAAACAGATCTAAATCTATTAGCAAAACAAAAAGAATATAGGATTTGGGCCACTTTTGCCTCTGCAGTCTGAAATGTAGCCTTTCTGACCACAAAAGGCCCCTATAATTTAACATCTTAAGACTGAAACTTTAAATTATAAAACAAATGCTACACACAAGCAAAACAAATGTATAGGGCACATTTGAATCTCATCACTATGGTAACACAGCTGCAAAACCATAGACGCTTCTCTCCAAGACATTAAGCAAAAGCTGAAAGAAAAATCTCAGGTAAGCCACATCTGGTTACCTGAGAACACAACACACTCTCGGCCTGAGAAGACACTGTTTTGGCACCTATAAAGCTATCCCCCTTCTGTATATGACCTATAAAAGTAACATCTTTATTGTAATCTCAAGAGGCAGCACTAAACTTCGGGTTTCCATCCAAAATGAATATTGACGATTTTGTTTAGTATTAATGATATGTGGGAAAGACACTGAAAGTTCCCATGGTAACTGTGTTTCTATGGTCACTAGAGATCTCTGAGGATTTCCCTTCATTGACAAGGCCAGAGACATATCTATGGGAATGTCCCTTAAAGAAAATCTGGCTAGAGATGAGACAGATTGTAGAGTTGCAACAGTAATGTAGAGATGTATAGATAGACTATAGATTCCTGACAATGACATAATTTGATGAGAATCTGATCATCTGTGATGTAAATGGTTTGTTTTCCTATAAATAGGCATACAGAGAGTTGTCATGTGACATTGAAAAAAAACTTGCTTGTGATAACTGACATTTATTAAAAAAGATATTACATGTATTTACATATTTTTGTAAAATGCAAGAATATATATGTTGAACTCTGTAGTGCATTTAACTAGACATTAGTGCGGCAATCTTGAAGCTTTTAGGCAAGAGATATAACATGTCTCTTTAAGACATGTCATGCATCACACAGTTCCCAGGAACCACAGAGAAACTGGACAAACAAGTCATCAGCATTTCAGAAGATACTACTTGGTTTAAAAGCATGGCCCCACAAAATGTGAATAATAACAGAAACCATAATACCACTGTTGTGAAACATTTTCAACAACAACAACAACTTCAAACTCATCAACATAAACCAGTTCAACAGACTTCTAATCTCACACAGACAAATTGACTCATGCCAGAATGTAATTTGATTAAGGCTTCAGAGCAGTTGGAGACTAAATGAAAAGAGGTGCTTGTGAGACCATGTAATGAAAATGTATCTGATAACTGACTAACACTACACAGACAAGATTGCATGCATTACATGCAAACGTGACACTTTTTTCACCATATGGTAAAGTAATAATTACAGTTAACTACTTAATTGTTATTTACAGTTTTACATGCTGCACATTTTTATGGCATTATTCTGTACAAATTACATTTTTATAGTATACAGACTGCAGGGCACTGAATCCTCATTTTCAACAACACAGACTGACCTTGGTTCAGCCCCTTTAGGTACAAATATCTCATTACATAACATTTTTACTTTGTTGCACTTGGCTTTTGATTAGAGCCATGTAATGAGCAGAGGCTCAAGATAATGCTTATATACAAGATAAAAATAGACAGAAAATTGGTAGAGACATGCTGCATCATTTGGAAAAACACTGTTCACCTTCACAGGCGAAAGGGCAAAAAGTCTTGTTCTGCCTGACTCATGTCTGACAGCCTGGGATCAGCTGGGATCCAAAGTTATGTTTCAAGCACTCACTCAGAGTTTGCTGAATGGAACCAACATTGAAAGCAAAAAAGACGTCGTAGTTTAATAAGCCTGAATGAAGCAAAACAACTTTGATCAAGGAAATATCCTGTGTTTGTTGAGCAAATTTAAAATATTAAACAGCATTTACACCCACAAAGGGCCAAACAGGTTATGCTATGTTGTCATGGACATCAATCTCATCAAATTCCACTAAAGAGAACCCATTCTGTCTTTTTAGTCCAGCTTTGGGGATGGACAGTTTTATATCATTTAGAAAATAAAAGTGAACTCCCTCTTAATTTAGTGTGCTGACTAATATTTTTTGAAACACGGTAATCGTTATCAATAAAAGAGGAGTTTAACTCACCCATGATGGTAACTCAGTTGCCTCCAGCTCCTGTTTAACCGTGTCCTCTTGCTCAAAAAATGAAAGTGCTCTATTCAACCTAGTGTTCTTACACCTCGTGTTTCGCTTCCAAAAGAAAAATATCGTGAGTGCGATTAAGAGCCAACTAAAACTGAACTCAAAATAACCCAAGACATATATGGGGAAGATAATGACGAAGGTCTTGGCGAACTGCAGCCACGTGCGCGTCAGGTCGCTGGTGCAGGACGCGGAGTCCTGGCTCAGCTCCGCGGGTGAGGAGGAAGGAATCGCCCTGCTTGTGGGTTCAGTTTGTCCGCTATCCTTTTGTCCCGAGGCACCTGCTGTTTGAGAAAGATTTCCGCGCACAGCCGTCATTATGTCCTCTGTCATAGTCAGCGCGGACGAAATGTTACGCACGGCTGTCAAACGTGTACATTGTGCTTCAGTGCAAAAGCTTCGAGAGTAAACAAGATACTTCAGATCATGCCGTGCTCGCGGTACACTAAGGTTTAAGTACACCGCTCAGCTAAATCAATTTAAGGATGTTTTCACGTTAGTTGGCCCGTACACCAGTCCATTTTGACGCGGATACTGGCTCGCTTTGCTTTAAGCTAGCTGTGCATAACTGAAGACTCGCCTCTGTGCGTGTGCCGTCTGACTTGTTCTTGCTGGCTGGTGCGCTCTGTAGTGTTGGTTTATGACTGACAGCTGAGCGCTTCACACACACACAGCGGGTCTCAGGAGGTCAGTGAGCGTCGCGGACAGCGCAAACTCGCCACCCCGAGCCAAGCAACTGCAGATACACAAACAACGAGGCGTCGACAGCGAAGCGACTCCCAAGTGTTAACTGTTAATTAAAGAACAAAAACAAGAAGCTGTTCGTTTCATATTTTCTGATAGACTGTTTGGGCCAAAATGTGCTGTCTGCTTGTGTCATCCTCCATGTTGTGCGTTCATCTCAGTTTTATTCTTTATTTTAAGTTGCTGCTTTTAGTAAACTAAGCTAAACGCACGACAGGGAGGACGACACAAATAAAACACAACAATAACAGTAGACATATGCTGAATTCTACTACTCGTGTGTATAGTACAAAGCAAGCACTGTCATCTTTTATATTGTGTGCTATGTCACATTTTTAAATAAGTCTTTTTAGTTCGATTTTTCGATTGTCTAAATTCGACAGTGTTACCATAGTAATATTTGTGTCGAGCGATTGCTCTTTGCTCGATTTAATAGTCTGTTGTTACCATGGCTTGGCAGGTTACCATAGTAGCATTAAACTGCGCAGGCGTTTTATCCGTCTAGTGGTATGGCGGTGAAAGCTGTCAACAAAAACTTGTGATTGTTGTATTAAACAGGAGAAGTGAGAAGAGGATCTTTGAAGTGATGTACCCTGTGAAGGTAAAGCAAATCGTATTCCGTATAGCTGTTGTGTAGCGATTGTTTTTCCTGAAAACATTTTAAGCTGAACAGCACGATTAGCCACTCATCGATAGCCAAATAAAACTGCTTATCTGCTTTAGTTAAATCTGTTTATTTCAATATCAAACTGTCACTTCATAATAAAACACTTGGTATGTAAACAATCAGCTTGTAAGTAGGCTGTGTTTAGTTAGTAGTTATATTAGGTAATCGAGCTTCAATCTGCACAGCTGTAACACATTTGCTGTCCATTTCCCCCTTCCTCTCATAAGAAAATAACAAAAGAAGATACTTGGAGGTCTGATGACTTAAAAGTGCACATTGAGGTAATCAGCAGTTTGTTTGTGTGTAAGAAAAAGACGAGGTTTAAAAGCACAACCCGTAAAAAATGTAATTGTTTTGTCAGGCACACAGTGAGGAGAGCAAAAGAAGATCTAAACGAGAAGAGGAGCACAGGAAATACAGGGATGGAGAATCTCTGGATCGCCGTCACAGAGATCCTGATCGAGATGCAAGAAGAGAAAAAGAAAAACAGAGAGAGCGAGAAAGCACAAGAGAGAAGAGCAAACACAGAGACCCAGACAGGGATAGAAACCAGGATGACAAGCTGCAAGACATCAGGGAGGATAGATATAAAGAGAGAAAGAGAGAGCGAGAGAGAGACAACAGACACAGAGATGGAGATGAAGAAGAAAAAAGACACAATCGAGGTGAGAAGGAAAACAGTGAAAGACGAAGGGATAGAGAAAAGGACAGATATAAAGACAGGGACGTAGACATGTACAATCAGTGGGACAGAGGTACAAACAGGGAAGGAGAAAAAGACAGAGATAGAAGGAGAGCTGAGAGAGACAGGGAGCGAAAAAGTGAAACAGATAGAAGGAAAGAGGAGAGAAGAGAAGGAGAAAAAGATGAAAGGGAGAGAGACAAAGAACGAGAAAGAGAGAGGAGAGAAAGACACAGAGCAAGAGAAAGTGAACAGCATCGACATGAATATGAGGAAAAACAGAGGGAGGGAGAAAGGAGAGAGAGACGCAGTGATAAAGAACACTCTGGACACAGAGAAAAAGGTATTATTATTACAGTTTGTGCCTGTGTTTTTTAGGTTCATGTCTATTTGATTTATTTGTTTTGAAAATCAAAAAATTAATATAATATTAATATGATCTCTTTTGTTTCAGAACACAGAAGAGATAGAGAAGATAGAGAGAAGAGAAGAAGGGATAAAGAAAGTCATGTAAGCCATAAGATTGTTGCTATTTATGAGCAAGATATTATACTGATAATATAATAAAAATTTAATTCTGACTGTACTGATATTACGGAGGAATGTTTAAAAATTGTGGCTAGTCAACAGACTTGAATGAGCTACATTGGAACTGATAACTGGAAGAGTTTTTTGCTAAAGTTGTTGCTGTCAACAGGTGGCACACACAAGTCACTCTCGAGAAGTTGAACAGCATCACCAGGAGTGGAAAGAGTCAAGGGATTATTTCCACGGCATCAAAAATGGGGATAGGGAAAAGGCCAGGGAGAGGGAAGAGAGAGATAAACGGCGTGAAAAAAGGCACAAAGAGGCTTCAGAGTCCAAGAGGAGTGACAGAGAGCGGAAACATAAAGATTCATCAGGTCATGACCTGAGTGAAAGGATAAATACAGACAAAGAGGTATAAACATTGTCAAATAAATGCACGAGATTCATGACATCCATTTGCTTTTTTAGGTTTGTGAGGTTATAAATCTCCACTGCATATGTTTTATATTTGTGTGGGTGAGCAGGAACCTACCAAGATACCTCAGTTAACATGGAGGTCTATTCAAGCTGAAATGAGTGATCCAGAGATCCCTGTAAGATATCTGTTTAAAAGTTCAGTTCAGCACGAAATGAAAATTCAACCTTTCAAATGCATGTTATTGATCTCATTTGGAACAATTTATCTATTCATTTTTTTTTAATTTTGTCCTTTTTTTTATCAAAACGTCATGGACGGACATCTTGTGTAAAAAAAAAAAAAAAAACGTCCCTTCATATGTTAAAATATTATAAGATAAGATTTAAGATAAGACAGCTCCTGCATGAAAATTCTCTATTGTTAACAACATGGATTTAACACTTAATGTTAACTCTTCTACTATTACTAGTGTACTGCATGTGCATTAAATTGAAGTCCAAACAGACTGTAAACAAAACCTGACTCGATCAGACTTGCCTAGTATTGTCAAATTTTAAGACCAAATCGAATCATTCTCTATTTGTTTCTTCTCTGACTGAACAGAGCTATAAGCACAGATTCGTACAGCTCTGATTTAAAGATGACAGAGAGTGTAAGTAAATGCACTAAAAAGCAAATGCGTTCTTAATTCTAAAGTAAATAATGTATAATACAAACTTGAACCAATACAAAGCCCTGACAACATACGTACATAGAGTTCTGCAGGTATAGTATGCATGTTAAAAATAAACACAAAAAGCAAGAACAGCCTAGATCAACCTAAATGACAGATCCTATACGAAAGCATTTACCTTAGAGTCTCACAACTTGTTTCTCTCAGAAGCTAATATTTAAAATAGTTTCATTGCATGTGTTCATCTTTACTTTTTAAGCTGTTTCGGCTTTCTAGCCCTACTGTAAATTTTGAGTAAAAGAGTAAACACACATTGTGGCTAATATAATTGCATGTCTTTGTGTTTCAAGGTGGAGAATGAAGAAACTGAAGAGAACAAACAAGCAAGCAAAGATCATAATGATTATGAGGAGGATTTTGAGGTGTGCAGCAGTGTTCCCTTAGAGTCTCACAACTTGTTTCTCTCAGAAGCTAATATTTAAAATAGTTTCATAGCATGTGTTCATCTTTACTTTTTAAGCTGTTTAGGCTTTCTAGCCCTACTGTAAATTTTGAGTAAAAGAGTAAACACACATTGTGGCTAATATAATTGCATGTCTTTGTGTTTCAAGGTGGAGAATGAAGAAACTGAAGAGAACAAACAAGCAAGCAAAGATCATAATGATTATGAGGAGGATTTTGAGGTGTGCAGCAGTGGTCCCATTACATATATGACTTTTGTTTGATAGTGCAGAATACTATAAATGGTGAACAAATTTTGTTGAGGACAAAGCCCTCATTTTGTCTTACTTACGTGTAATCAAAATGTTTTCTGCAAAGTTTTTGAAACAAATATTTTGGTAAATATATGATGAATACAAGCTAACCTAAATATGAAATTATTATATATTATTCTGAATAAATATATTATTATTATCTTTATATAATTCTTTATATATTTATATAGGGTTTATATTTCCCTAATATCTGATGTGAATCTTAAAGCTGAATCTAACCAACAAACTTCATCAAAATTCTTATTCCTTCTTTCTTATTCCATATTTTATTAAGCTGTTCTTTTGGTAATGCTTTTAGGATTATGAAGAAGACTTTGAGGATGTTGATGAAGAGGAGGATGATAATGAGGAGGAGGAGAAAGAGGAACATGACAAAAAATTGAGAGAAGACAAGAGGGAGTTGAGTCCCAAGAGAAGAGAAGAGATAGAAGCCATCCAGAGAGCCATTGATGAGGAAAATGAGAGAATCTACTCTGCAAGATCAAAGCCCACAAGTGCAGAGTCAGCTGTCACCCAGAGAGGTAGTTAAACAAACGTTTGTTAATTTGCACATTCCACTGGCGACTATGAAAACGAAGACATAAATCTGTGCTTTTGTTGAGTTTTCACAGAAAGGCACTCCGACAGAAGTCGAGCACATGGCAAAATTATTGATTTTGTATCGGCAAAGCAGCGAGAGGTCAGCCAGAAAGTGGCCAAGAAACAGAAGCAAGTTCTTTACCTTCATAATAATCTAATTAGTAGTTATTAGAAGTAAACATATTTTTTAAAATAAAAAAATAAATTGATTTTGTTGACTAATTAAGTTACATTTATTTGATTTGAAGGAAGCGCAGTGAAGAACTTCTGCGCCTGATTGATTTAGACTTCTCCATCACCTTCTCTCTGCTGGACCTGCCTCCGGTCAACGAGTATGACATGTACATCAAAAATTTTGGAACAGCTAATACAAAACAGGTTAGAAATCTAGGAAGTTGTAGGTACTTCCATGCTACAAAAGGGCAATGGTGATATTTGAAGTATTTAGCCATATCGTGACCATAATAGTCAGCATGAGACTGACTATTGAATTAATGAATTAGCACAGGACAGATCTGACTCTATAGCTACCAAATGTGATATATTAAGCCACTTTTATACATCTTCTGTCAACTATTTTTTTCCCCCCTGCTCAAAATCTCATGAGACTACTGTGCCTCCAGGCTTATGTGCAGTGCAATGAAGACAACACTGATCGAGATATACAAACAGAAGAAGTAAACATGACAGACAAATGGACACAACACCCACCAGAAGCAAATGCGGCATGTGGAGGTATTGTGTTCATCACTGACTCTTATCATTAGTAACGAATACCAAATGGAAATATAGTTCTATTTTGTTCTCTGAACTGTAACCAGGGTCTAAGGCAACTGAAGATAGTGCAGATGAATCCACTTCAAGAATAAATACTAATTCTCAACGGCTGACTACTTTTTTACGTTCTGCTGCACAGGTAAAGAATGTTGTTAATGGGTCTATTTTTATTTCGAAACGCTTATACACTCTTTAAATTATCAGCACATATCTCAAATTAATCTTCACAAAAGTGCAAAAGCACTCAAAAATTTCAGTTTGCTCTTGCATCATTATATCATAGAAATATATAAACAATATATGCATATGTCGCCCATGTCTGATAAAGTACTAGTTTAGTTAAAAGTACTATTTATTTGTATGTCAGGTGATGGCTGTTCTGATAGAGGAAAATATGGCAGAGAGTAATTCTGTCAGAAGACTTCGCTCTCAAACTGACGCACTGTCCTTTAGCGATGGCTGCATTCAACTCAATACCAAACTCCCCTTTCTGCATGGTAACGTTTTCCAAAATTACATTTACCGATAAGTAGCAGTGATTATGATGTGTACTTCAGAATACATTTTGATATGGAATAAATGTTGACAGTGTTAGTTCTAGGATTTTTGAATTAATGTAAATGTACATTGATTTCTATTACTGCAAAGTCATTAACCTAATTCATTTTCAGTTTAAATTCCAGTTAATTTGGATTCATTTGGATCCAATTATTCAATATTCAATTTCAAACATCACATTTAGTGATCAACGCCAATAAATATGAACTGTAAACTGTGTTTATTAGGGTGATGAACATGTACAGATCATAGACTATAAAAAAGATGGATGACTTGTCTCCATTTCCTTCCATTGTAGAAAAATTAAGACAAAAATGGCCCCTGTCATTTTGCGCTGATGACGCCACACCCCGATTTTATAGCATCAAATAACCAAAACGAAACACTTGTTAGAAAAACGAACACTCAAACATACATGAGTGTGATAAGAACTACCTAAAACAACAGGTACCATCTTCGGACAAAATTTACTTGGTGTAATGTAATGTAATTTTTTTTTTTTAGTTTAATTTACGTCCCATTCATTTACATGGAGAGGGGTAGATCGAAATGTTTTGGCTTCACTTTTCAGGAAGTGAATGGCACACTTGGTACAGACCCTGTATGTAATCATGTATATGTGCGCATCTACCTGCAGGTCGGCAGGTGAGTCTGCTGCAGTTCTCTCAGGTCCAGAGACAGACTCTTCTGTCTGTTCATCCTCCTTCCTCCAAAAGCAGTGCTGTACGTCTTGACGGTGAGACAATCATCTGTGTTTGGAACATCTGGGAGCCATCCAGACCCCAAAAAATTCTTCTTTATGAATCTGAGGTATGGAGGAGAACATACTGGCATCATGAAAATTTATTGTTGATGTTTCTGAAATTAACTGCTCTCCCATAACAGTCACGAAAAATCTATATCTTTTTCTCCTATTTGTTTACCCCTCTTAGGTAAGGTGTTGTTGTTTCAGTCCTGGTAAAGTTACACTAGTGTTTGCTGGTACAGAAATAGGCTCAGTGGTGGTATGGGACCTCAGAGAACATTCTGGCACTCACTTGAACTTGGTGGTTGGCAAGGAGGTGTGGACACTATGCTATCCGACCTTCTCAACAGGTCAGTCAATGCTCACTGCTTCAGCTGCTGTGCCATCAAAATAAATAATAGATAAAACACAAGCGTTTGCAAAACTGTTTATCTTACTTGTATTTAGATATAGATATTAGGAGTCAGGTCACAGGTTAAAACTAAATTGACCTGTGTTTTGTGTGCTTGCAGATGCTGTGCTTTCAGTGGTGGGTCATCTCTCTCCCGTCGTGTCCATTGAACCTGTACTGGCGACTGCTGATACAAGTTCAAAGAGCACACTAACTGCAGACATAGATGGTAATGTGTTTAACATAATTTTTTTAAATAAATTAAATGCACTACAGTTCAAAACTTGGGGTCAGTAAAAAAATGTTTGAAAGATTTATTCAGCAAGAATGCATTAATTTGATTAAAAGTGTTAAGACATTTATAGTTTTATAAAAGTTTTGCCATTCTTTTGAAGTTTCATTCATTAAAGAAGCAGCACATGCTGTTTTCAACATTGATAAGAAGAAATTATTCTCAAGCAACAGATCAGCATATAAGATTGATTTCTGAAGGGTCATGTGACACTGGAGTAATGGCAGCTGAGAAGTCAACACTGCCATCACAGGAATAAATTACATTTTAAAACATTTTAAAATAAATGCAATCTTGTTGCGCATAAGAGGCTTAAAAAATTGTATCCACTACCCACCAAAATCTTTGAACAGTAGTGTATATTTTGAAAATCACTAAAAGAAATTCCTTGTTTCCTTGTGCAAAATCTAGAGTCTCTGGGACTGTCATTCCAGTTAGGATCTCTGGATGAAAATGGAGTGTTAACTCTCTGGGTATGTCTGCATTTCACCAGTAACTTTATACTTTAAACCCTCTTTCATTTGGCAGTGTTTTTGTAACAAGGGATTAATTTGATAGAGTTGTGTATTTTGTCTCTGACAGGTTGTGGTTGAGCTGCAGAAAGGAAATGATTCTGGTTCTCAAACAGACCTAGGTAAGCCTAAATTTAAAATAATTTTTCTATTTTCTGTAAAGCTGCTTTGAACAGTGTGTAAAAACGCTATACATGAATTGAGTTGAAATCATCCTTGCTGAAATCATATTTTTATGCACATCTATTAGACCTCTCTCATTTTAATAATGCTGTGCCTGCCTTGGTAGGTCTGAGGCCCGGTGGTAAAGTTAAACTGCTCCACAGCTCCTCTCTACAGACCACTGAGAAATCACCTCAAGATGTTATAATGGGATTTGGACCTCCTGTGAGCCTTCAGCTAAAGTTCCTCCTCTCTGACTCAAACCATTACTTCATTGGTACTAACATGGTGGGTGTTGCATGAAATTGTTGAAGATATTGAATATTTGGGTTGGTGGTGTTTCCTATAGACTTTCATCTTGGTCTTAAAATGTTTCTTTATTTTCTTTTATTATTGAAGGGTCTGGTTAGACATGGTACAAGGCATAGCTTAAAAGTTCTTCCAAAGTTCTACAGATCACAGTTTGATAGCTGTAGACCAGTGGAGGTCACAGCACTTGACTTCAGTCCTTCCGGGGAACCTTTGTTCTTGGTAAGAGCAGCTTCTATTGCTTTGTACTGTATCTGTATTTATGTATATCTGTGTTTGTGGAGATCTGTTATTAGTGATGAAGCCAGTGTGTTTTTACTCCCAGTTTTTACAGGTTCTAGCTGAAAGAATATGAATATTATATTAATTTCTCTCTTTAGGTTGGCTGCAGTGATGGAACAGTCCGATTGCACTCTGTCCTGAGAGAAGATCCGTTGATGGAATGGTCTGGATGTTCGAGTGGCGCTTCCATTCTGTCAGTGCAATGGTCTCAGACTCGGTCAGCTGTGTTCTGTGTTCTGGATGCTGCCTCTGATCTTCACATCTGGGACCTGACTGTGAAGGATTATGTGCCATTCGTCACTGAGAATATACACAATGACCGGTAAAAAGCCAGGACATCAAATATTAGATTTTATTTTTTTGATAGAAAAAAGTTTAGTTAGTGCTATGCAGTAAGATAATATGTCAGTTAATTCCTGCATGTGTAATTACAGAGGTAGAGCAGGTACTTCAGGTGCTTAACTGTTTTTTTAAATCTTCTCTTATCTAACTATTTTTCACAGGGTGACAGCCATGGCAGTGTTTGGTGAGCCAGCCAAACAGAACACATTTTCTGGTGTTGCGCTCGCCAAGCAGTCCGGCAAGGTGGAGATTCAGTATTTTAAGGAGTCACTTACAGTGCCGAGTGCCTATGACAAAGAAAAGCTTAAGTCTTTTTTGCACGATGCTCTTATGATATGAGATAGATTCTCATCCAAATCAAGCAGAGGTCTATCTGAGCCCAGATTCAAATGAATTTCCAGTTAAATCCATAATATGCAAATAACAGAAGGAACACACAAAGAGACATTAGAGAAAGTCATGCGCAGTATGGGCAGACCTAGTGAATTATATTTCCTTGTTACATCAATAAGGTACCTAAAGCTACACTGATGGTGGCTAGAACAGCATGAAAAGAATGAGAAATGGTTGTTTAATACTGTCACAGTGGCTACGCTTTTTGGTCTGTACAAATAACAAAGGAACTTCCCTTGCTTAAAAATTGTTACATCTGAAATTTTGCTGATGTTAGCTAGAACATGATGGTTTTGTTGCTGGAAGCAGCATTTTGTAAGGTTAGATCAAACGCTAAAGGGAGCACATAAATATGAGCGTTCTGTTCCTCAGGGATATAAAGACATTATATCCATTTTGTATTGTTTTACAATATGTACAGTTGAATACTTACACTGTGTAGCATTTGAACAGGAATAATATTAATAAGAAAAGGGAACAACTATGATAAGCTTGGCATAAACTTATTCTGTCTTCGTTAATAAAAGACTAGATGAGGACCAGTGTACGAGTTGAACGGACAATAATCTGTTGTCTGTCGTTCTGTTTCATTCCTACTGACTGCCAGAGGCAGTGTAAACACTATGGATTATCGCAGCGCCAGCTAGATGGGTTTTTACAATATGTACAGTTGAATACTTACACTGTGTAGCATTTGAACAGGAATTATATTTCTTATTTATGATCACTATAATTTCTTCGCTATCAAGTCTACTATCATACTGTAATTATTAATGGATATTTTTATTAAAAGACATTTAGACTGTTTTTTTTCTCGTTCTGTTCATCACTATATTAGCAACTGCAACTGCACACCGAGGACTGTCACCCTCACTATGGATTTTTGTCATCTTTTCGACATGGACACCAATTATAGTTTGTCTCTGAGGCCAACTGCATTTTCACACTGTCTCTTCTGCAAAGTATTATTATTTTTCGCCGTTACCATGGTGATTAAACCAGCGCTAGTTCGACTTCAGAATCAGATACTGTTATTTTTAATTTTTACAAAATTAAGTCGTCACTAAAATAAAACTTATAGTACTACAATGAAATTGAGTATAGTTTAGAAGTTTGTCACAACAAATAAAACATGATATTAATAGAGATAAATATTATATTACTAAGTACATGACACATTGCAGATTTATCATGAAAACCTTAAAAAAATGAAATAGGTTGAGTGATATATTCGCGCTGTCGAGTACAGCTTGCTAGAGCAGCGAGATATCATCCTCACAAGCTGTGTCAGCGCGCATCTACGCCACTCCAACGGATTTGGAGTATATTTAGCAGTGAGTTTTTGATTTTCTGCTTGTCTATATTGCTTCGTCGGTTACACTCTATGCCTCCCGGTGCTATCCGGTGGCTGGTGTTTTCCGCGACGATAAGTTAACGGTCTCCCGTTGACTTAATCATCTGTTAACTATTCTGAGTGTTTTTCCTCAAATTTATGTTATACTCTGTGCCCTTCGGTTCAATCCGTCAGCCATTTTAGATATATTTTCCTTTTTTTCGTGAGATACTTGTTGGCATTACCTGTCGGTCACCCGAGGGAATCGTATATATATATTTTTTGTTATTATTTTTTTTTTTTCTGCCTGTCTTCGTTGTTACCATCATCCCGCTTAACTTAAACCTTACGGTGCTATCCGAGGGTGTTATTAGCGAGTAACTATGGCTCACAGCTAGATTGCCACTGGTTTTCCACTGACTTGTAAGCTGTGCCCTAATAATCTTCTCCCGGACGATCGTTGTTACCATCATCCCGCTTAACTTAAACCTTACGGTGCTATCCGAGGGTGTTATTAGCGAGTAACTATGGCTCACAGCTAGATTGCCACTGGTTTTCCACTGACTTGTAAGCTGTGCCCTAATAATCTTCTCCCGGACGACGGTCATGACATCTGCCCATCGTGTTTGGGTGTCCAACATCTGAGAGATGCTCTCACAGACCCGTGTCTGCACTGCAGCCTTTTACCCATGTCGGAACAACGGCTCCGTCTTGCTGAGTTAGACGCTAATTCAACGGTGAAACTCGGGCTGTTGGATGTAGCCCCTTTGCGAACTCGGAAGCGCAAGGCGTCCGTGGCAGCCGGCGCTTCCCTCCCATCTAAAAAGAGGGCCACATCGCGAAGTGATGAACATTCGCATGTTGAGGAAAATTCACTTTCTAAGACGGTTTCTGTGCTTTCTTTAGAGATGGCAGAGCTGAAACGCCTGCTTAACTTGCTTCAGCCTGTCACATCTGCTACACCTGTGAAGATGACACAGGAGGATGAGAATGTTCAGAATCAGGGAACTGGTGAGGAGTCTCTCGATTCCCTTTGTTTTTCACATCATTCTGATATGGATGTGCTTTCTACGAGTGCTTCAGATTCTTTTTTTCGTGATCACAGAGATGCTGTAGATGTTGCTGCACAACCATCTCCTCAGGATGTTTTCACTGGTTATCCAGCAGCAGAGGGGTCTAGTGGAGGGTCAGTTCAGTCATCTGGACAGGCCCAGTCCTCTTCCGATGATACTTTGGCTGTACTTCGAATGGCAATTGCTCGTCTAGGACTTAATGGGTCACCAGTACAGTCTGCCCAAACAAATTTTTTTTTCAGACAGGACACAGCTGCGGCTTCTTTCGCCATGCCACAATGTAAAGATTTTGTGGCTGAATTTTCAAATACCCTCACTGGTTCTGGTCCGCTTAAGCGGCGCTCAAAGATTGCTTGGACGCTAGCATCTATGGCTGAAGCAGATTCCATCGGGGTGAGTCGTGCTCCGGAGATAGAGCAGCCTGTTGCAGCTTTGGTGGTGTCTCCTGACGAGGCACTACGAGGTAATGTGCAATGTCCCAGTGCTCAATGTGGTCGTACGGATTCCCTACTAAAAAAGGCATACGAGCCTGTTGCCTACATTACTCGTGCGGAAAACACAATCTGCCAATTATTTCTTGCTGCCACCAGTACGTTGGAACCAGCAAATGTTGATCCCTCTATTTCACAGTTTCTGCAAACTGCTCTCTTGACAATGGGCCATGTGACCCGCGAGCTGGGTAGTCTTACAGCCACGCTCCTGGCAGCCCGCCGCCAAATGTGGCTTGCCCAAACACGGCTACCTGAGGACTGTAAGAAAATCTTGAGATCTTCCATTTGTTCCCAGGTATCTTTTTGGTCCTAATGTTCCGGAACTGTTGGAAAAGAGGGTAAAGCTGTCTGAGGCCACTCGTCAGCTGATGCAGGTGCAGCGCAACCCTACCTTTAGGATGCCAGCAGTTCAGACCCATCATCACTATGCCACATTGGAGCAACGTTTCCGCCGGCACGCTACACCTCAGTCACAGCCCCCTGAAAGGTCTTGTGTTACTGAGGATGCGAGAGTTTTTCAGCCACCTCATCGACAGTTGCCAGGGGGACCCCGTCAGCGCCTCCATGCGACCACTAAAAGTCGCACACATAAAGCTTGAGACATTCAGGCTGGCGGTCGATCGTTTTTCAATACAACAGCTGGAGTACTGGAGGACCAACACAGCAGACCCCTGGGTTT